AAAGTATATGTTTTTTAAACAGTTTTGTTTTAAAAACCTTTTAGCTTTATATAATAGGCCGATGTTTTTTGATATTTTGTTTTCTATTGTACTTATGTGTTCACGCCATGAAAGATTTTCGTCTAGAAATACTATTAAGAGTGCTCTCTTTATAATAATAAGGTGAATAATGGCATGGTCAGTGGAATGTCTGACCAAACAAAAAATATTAAGTCTATTGTACATAATTTTTTTCTAGTAATTTTGAGAAACAATGAAGAATTGAGATCGGTCTACAACGTTTGAAACGTCACCAGATTTGAAAATTGGTACAATTTTTGCAATTTTAAGTTTTTCAGGACAAACACCTTGTTTTAAAGATAAATTAAAAATGTGCAATAGTGGAATAGTTATATATTTTATTAATTTTATAATGACGCGACTACTGATATCATTATATCCTAAACTTTTTTTAGATTTTAACAAAAACATTGCTTCCAACAGTTCTCTTTCCGTAAGTTCATCATTGTCCATTACATTGGTATTATTAGATTTTTAAAAAGATTCAAATTTTACTTTTGTGGTTTCTATTTTTAATGCTAAGTTAGAACCTACATTAACAAAATACTGAAATTGTTCAGCAGTTGAAAACTTATCTGTAATAAGTTCTTTATTTGATTTAAGATTGATTGGAAGGTTATTCCGATCAAGGTTTTTTTTTCCAGTTACTTTTTTAATTATGTTCCAGATCTTTTGCGTTTCATTTTTGTGTTTACTAAACTGTTCAGAATAATAATATTTTTTAGAACGTCTTAAAATTGATTCAAAAAGCCGCCTATAGTTTTTATACTTGGTTTCATTTTCAAGTGTTCTTTTTTTGATAAATTTATTATATAATCCAAGGAGGTTTATTAAACCTCCTTGATATAATCGTTGTTTTTTTTTGGACGACTTTTGAATACCCTTTGTTATCCAAGGATTTAATAGCGTTTTTGTTGTCTCAGGAAAAGCTTTGTTATAAACTTTTTGAAAGTTGTTAAGGAACATATCATATGCTTTATTAACGTTTGTACTTTTTAAAAGATGGTTCCAATTAATGAAAGATAATATGTTATGAAAATAGTTTATATTAGTTTCATTTATTACTATAATAGTTCTTTTCATTTTTTGGGCACTAATACTATCGTACTTTTGTGACACAATAAATACTGGAAATTGGTCAGAAATGTCAGACTTAAATATTCCTATTTTTATTTTGGTATTTATAAATTCATTTGTGATTATTTGATCAATTGCAGTAGCGCTTTTATTGGTAATTCAAGTTTATTAACTAGTTTATTAACTAGTGGAATGTAACCATTATGGAAAATACATTTAAGTTGGGAAAGGTAATAACGTCAATAGAGTCATCCAAATCATAGCAAACAATCGCTGAACTGAGTTTGGCAACAAATTTCTTAAAGCTAAAGTCAACAATAAAATACAAAAACTCTAACATTCTTACACAAGTGAAGATTTCTTACTTTAATCATTTTGTTTTTTTTAAGATTTATCTTTCTGTATTTTAAGTCTCACTGCAAATTTCGAGCTATTCATGAAAAAAAGATAAATGATAAAAAAATTGGCTATAATAATAATATTATGGATAAACAACAACATCAACAAAATTAATTTTATACTTATAAATTTTTTCATTTAACATTGAGTTCCGAAAATCGTTGATAAAAAAACGGCTGATAAATGTTGAAAAAACGAAAGCGAAGGTAAATAAGTGAAGATAAATTTACCGCGAATTTTAGTTTGTTTATAACTATAATAAAATATTATTAACAAAAAGTTTTGTAATATAGATACAGTTAATACATTATATTAAGTAGATACAGTAAATACATTATAACAAAGTTAAATTTTAACATAATATATGATTTCCATACTAGTTCTAATGTCTATTTATATACTAGTTCTAATAACTTTTAACTAGTTCTGTCTATTTATAAAAGCTATAGGTGTACATGACTTTTTTTTGCTATTAATTTCTCATATGCAAATTTTTTTATTTTTAATAACGAGTGTTGTTTCTTTATCTTATTCCCTAAATTTCTTTATCTTATTTCTAAAACATTAAGTTTAGATATTTGAAAATTTAATACAAAAAATAATAGATCTTATTTTGTTAAAATCAATTACAAAACGACTTGAATTTTTAAATTTTAAGACTGAGTTAGTTTCAGAGACTTGAAACCAACTCAGGGAATATAGATTAATTTTGTCAACAATAAAATTAATCTGTGTGCCCTTAAAATGTGAAAAAAATATCTCATAAATATGCCCCTCTTAAATATCATAAATGTCATAGTATAGGGGTAAGCGAAAGATACTATGACTCAAAATGAGGTTTTGATTTTTTTAAAAAACGAAGACCAGATATATTACTGATTTGAGGAGGAATGTATGAGAGTGCTGCTACATCGATTGATCTATACCTGTCTTAACCCAAACCCTCAGTCGATGTAGCAGCATTTCCTTGCATGTTATCCCTAAATAAGTCAATGTAGAAGCACTCTCCTACATTTCTCCCCAATTCAGTAATATATCTGGTCTTCATTTTATAAAAAGTCAAAACCTCATTTTGAGTCATAGTATCTTTCGCTCACCTAGTATAGGTGGTTTTTATTTAGGTCAAAATTTTTTGGACTAGAGTGTAAGTTTATGAGGTGAACATACATTGTTTTATATATGAGATTTTTTTTTCTAGTTTAAAATTTCATCTTTTTTTTTTTAATAAATTTTTAGTCAACATTTTAAACTAATAGTCAACATTTTAAAATGCTATTTGTAGCATTTAAATGCGAAATCTGTTTTCTTTCTCCTTTGCCCACTTCTTCTGTATACTTGGTTAAGCAAGATACGTTCTTTTTATTTCTTCTATTTGTTTGGTTTGCCAATCAGTACTTTAACTAGTTCAATAGCCCTCTCTGACACATCATTGACCATATCATGAAATTTAATAACAGATACAAACTCAAAGTTAAAAATCATTGAACTCCCAGAACTGTGAGCAGATTATAAACCACTGTAACTCATCTTTTTTATGACTAATCTTATCAAAGATGAGTCAATATTGCTCTGTTACTAGAGAACAAACGAAAAGAAGCAGATCTTTTGCAAAGTCTAAAGAGTGAAGAAGCTTTTTGTAGCAAGTGGATATACTTTTAGTTTAGGAGAAAGTAAACAATTCAATGCTTTAACAATACTTTCTGTTTCAGAAAAACACCAAAGCAAGCACAACTAAAGTAAGATCAAGGTATCAGCTGTGTCTGTCAAAAGATTTTATTGCCAATGAATTTCTTCATTGCCAAAAAGCTTTCATATCTTATACAATATTTTAACCAATGTTTGATAATTTATTAATCAAATAATGTGTTTCTTGTTTATTATTCATATTTTTAATCAAATGGCTCAAGAGTATTGCTCTAAGAAACTACTTGATTTAAATGATGCTGACAAGCATAACTGTATCATGAATGTTTTCTATATTTTCCCTGGATAAATTTAATATGGTTTCCAATAGTAAATACAATTTATTTATCATGCACGGTTCACAACAAAAGCTGTATTGCTGTTATCTACATTATTCTTGTTTTGTTAGAAACTACCATCAAAGATAGTTCAGCTACTTCTAGATAATCTTTTCTTGGTTTATCATCCTAAAAGGACTTAGTTTTAAATATTATGATCATAAAAATTAGGTTTTAAACTATTTTTAACAATTTTAATAAACTATTGGAATCAGTAGTATCTAAGCAGATACATGTACACTCTATTTGATGACTAAGGTCAAATTCAACTTCTAGATTATAAACTGCATGAAGCTGCTTTTCTCCAACACCTAACTCAATATAAAGAATGCGTAGTAGTTTTTCTATTCACTTTTATTAGTTGGAATCTGTCTTTTGTCACTAAAGCTTTATCTGTATATACTTTAAATAACTTTCCATAAAAGTGAAAAGAAGTCAGCTTATATGTGGTATTAGTCAAGTCTTTTATATTCTGTCTAGTTTTTTGAGCTTTTGAACTTATTCCTTTATCAACAGCTTAGTGAGAGGATGATTTAGACACAAAAAAAAGTATTTTTTTTTACTGGTATAGATATAATATTGCCTATGATAGCAGTGTGCTGGTTGACAGAAAATCCTTCTCCTACAGCAGTTTTTGCCATAAATTTTAAATATCTTTAGGAAATATTGTTATTTTTCCTCTTGAGAATCATCGTAGATCAATTGTAACAGGATGATTGCATTTCAAGTTTAAAGAAATATCATCACTTCTGAGTTAAAAAACTAAATCTTCTTTTTTTTCTTCTTCAAGTAACTTTCTTTTTAGATTTTTTATTTGCAGACCATTCAGTAACTGTTTTGAAGATAAAATCAGGAATTGCTAGACAACCTTGCCTTATTTCTTTTTACATTTTTAAGAAAATAATGTCCACCCATTTTCTTTTGTCCTTTTAAATCTGTTGTCATTTTATCAATCATAGATTTTACGTCATATTCCAACCAAATTTTTTTTTTTTAATTCAATTAAGAAGTTATTTCTATTCTTTTATCTTTTATCATTTGCATTTTATCTTTAATTTTGGAAAAAAAAAAAAAAAAATAGTGGAAAGTGTGCCTTTTTTTAATATTATGCATTGTGAGAATATACAGAAAAAAAAATTGAATTGAATGATGCTTTAGGGTGGCGCACACAGGGTTGAAAACTGTCAAAAAAGGATTTAAAAAAAAAGTTTGTAACCCATGTGCCAGTTTTAATTTTTTTTCAAACTAAAAAAAAATTATGAAATAAAGGTCTGCACAAATTTTAAGCTCCCACTCAGTCCAACTAAAATTTTGACCTAAATATAAACTACTTAAGTCAAAATATTATGCAGAGGCATATTAGCATTTTAGTAAATTAACATTTCCAGTGATATTAAATTATATTTTTTTATTTATTACACTAATTGAATTTTATTATTTTAGTGTACAAGAATATGGTACGATCATCAAGGCGGCCACAGTCTTTACTGTCTAATTCATTTCAAAGTGATAGTAAGAAAATTATATATTTATGATTTCAAAATAAAGTTCTATATATTTAAAGTATATATGTATTAATTTTTTCAAATAAGTTTAAATACCTTTCTAGGATCAGTGACACTAGTTTTGAAGTGGGTGTGGGGGTGTGGAGAGACTTAATTGTCATTTTCTAAATAAAGTCCTTTATACCATGGATTTTATAAATTAAGAAGATGGCCCATTCCATCCCTCTGCCCTCTTGTGGAGGCTCATCTCCTACCCTGGATGTGCTCCCATGCTCCAAAAAAGCACAAAATCAGAAAACAAAACTGCTCTTAAATTTTTTAATCAGAAAAAAAAATTTCCTGTTATCTATTGGAAATTCTGAAATCAATAAATAACTGGAGTGAATGGGAACTTATCCTTTCTTATTTTGTCTGTATTATTTTACAGTATTAACTTTGAAAATTCAACAAATAAAAATATGGTGCATATTTTTATTTATTGTATTTACACAGTTAATTTGCATAATGTGCTGTCTATAAACAATGTAGTATTGATCTATATATAATGTAAGTATTTTCTGTATATATGTTTGCACATATGTTGTTCAGGATTTTAATCCTTTTTTTTATTTTTTTTTATTTTTATACACATCCTTTAAGGATTGACCAGAAATCATCAATAAGTTGTAATTCTGGGACACTAACCAAATTATCAACTTTTGTAAAATAACAGATATTGTTTTCATCCAGGTAATTGATTACACTTCTGACATGCAAAAAGTCCAAGTCAGGCAAAAATACATAATTATTATCACCATAATGTTTGATAATTAAAGGAATCAATCTTTTGATGATGAATTTATTTTTATACACTTTTTGGTTAGTTGCCAGTCCTGCAGGAATATGTTAATCCATATAAGAATTTTTCCCAATATATATCACTTTTTCATCATATCCATTGCTCTATGGAAAATAAATAATATTTTTAGAACTGCATGATATTTTCCTGATAATGTTGTAAAAATGGTTAACAAATTGAAGAAGTATAGTATATTACTGCATTTCAATGTGATTTTAAAACTTTGCATTAATTGTTTAATGAAAGCTGGTATTAAAACTTGATGTGTTATGTCTTATAATATTTTTTGGTTAGATTGATAGTATAATAAAGATTTTTTCAAAAATTGATTTTAATTTTTATCTAAAATAATATAATACCATGCGTCTATTTATCACAATTGTAACTATTTGTAATAATATCAATAATGTAACTATTTATCAAATGATCAAAATAAATATTTGCAAAATTTGTCATTCAAACATGAGGTTGAGAGAGAGAGTTCCAAAGCTTCAAAACTTGGATGTGTCAAACCTTGTTGCATAAAGTAAAGCCACCACACAGCAGCATGAAGGATTTTTTTTTTTAAACTTTTATACTACTTTTTTGTTTAAGGAAAAAATTTTCATATCTTTTTCTTTGTTTTATTTTATATTGAATAACTTTCAAATTCAGTATCTTGTCAACCCGACAAAGAATTTCAATAAATATTAAAGGTGTTTTAGAATTATTTTTTATCAAGTTACAAAAAAAAAAATTTATAATAATAAACATACCAAATTAGAAAAAAACTACATAAATCTTATTAGAACATAAAGGGATAAATACAGTAAAAGAATGCAACTTTGCTGAATGATGAGTCAAGCAAGAATAAAGTTTTGATTAATGAAACTAGTGATGATATTATTTGTAGAATAGAGAAAGAAATGTAACCTTACTAGAATGAGACAGTGGCTCATGCTAGGTAGATAAAGCTAGTTCAACTACATATTTTTATATTGGAATATTTAACAAATAAGTACATGGAAGTGGAGGATGCATTTTCAATTTATTGTTGGTCATATTTTTAAATTTTATTTAAAAAGACTATTTTAAGTTAATAACCAAGAGACTTTTACAGTTTTCATGAAATGTAAGCTAAACAATACATAAATAATTCATGTTTTCATGAAACGTAAGCTAAACAATACATAAATAATTCATGTTTTCATGAAATGTAAGCTAAACAATACATAAATTTTTTTTTATGTTTTTTTTAAAGTTTTATTGAAAGGCTGATTATTGTTTTTTTTATTAAATTATGTGCACACATTAATGTTTTTAAATGAAGATTCTTAGTTTTTAAATGAAGATTCTTATGTTTTTAAATGAGTTAGGCGCATTTAAATTTTGAGTTGGTTTAACTTATTGTTTAAATTGTATAAATTTACATAAATGGAACTGGAGTGTAAAAAAACTTGATACAGCTGGTACTAGAATTGTAATATGTGCAAGAAATATTTACCATCACCGGAATTGGTTAGAGGTAAATCATAGGAACCATTACCAGAATTGTGTTGAGGTGAATCATCACCTCATTCAATTGAAATGAGGTGAATCATCACCTCATTCAATTGAAATGAGGTGAATCATCACCTCATTCAATTGAAATGAGGTGAATCATCACCTCATTCAATTGAAATGAGGTGAATCATCACCTCATTCAATTGAAATGAGGTGAATCATCACCTCATTCAATTGAAATGAGGTGAATCATCACCTCATTCAATTGAAATGAGGTGAATCATCACCTCATTCAATTGAAATGAGGTGAATCATCACCAGAATTGTGTTAAGTTGAATCATCACCTCATTCAATTGAAATGAGGTGAATCATCACCAGAATTGACAGAGTGAAAGAATTTGGCATAACATTAACTTTTTTATTCTTAATATCCTTTTTTTTTTATCATAATTTTGTTTAATAAAATTACTTAAAATTAAAAATTTATTGAACTTGAAATAAATAAAATATAAACATATATTAATTTTTTTATAAAATAAAATTATAGAGCATGGTGTAAGCATACATTATTTTTCTACATTTTTATTTATTATATATATTTCATTTTTATATGTTTGTTTAGTTTTTTTTATTTATTTACTAAAATCTTATAGTATGATGCATAAATTATCAACTCTCGGAATTAAAAGTGTTTGAGGTTGACAAAAAATTACCGTCCTTGTTTCTATGTTTTAATGGTAACCCCTTTGCGTCAATTTTTTTTTACCGACCTAATGCTCTAACTTTCTTAATTCCAAGGGTTGCATTATTTTTTAAATTTTGTTTAGGCGGTTTGAAATATTGTTGGGCAATTATGTTAAAAGATAAAATTGTTAATATAAAAAAAAAAAAAAAAAAAAATAATAATAAAAATATAAAGTAAAATAAAAATGAATTTTGTTTAAATACACAGTAATTACATTTTGTGATAATATTTCTTATACATCTTACTTGATTTGTATGCTTTTGCTTAACAACGGTCAACATATTTTGATTATTTTAGGATATATATATATATATATATATATACATATATATATATATATATATATATATATATATATATATATATATATATATATATATATATATATATATATATATATATATACATATATATATATATATATATATATATATATATATATATATATATATATATATATATATATATATATACCATATATATATATATATATATATATATATATATATATATATATATATATATATATATATATATATATATATATATATATATATATATATATATATATATATATATATATATATTCCTGGGCTTTTGCTTAACTAAGTTTAACATATTTTGATTATTTTAGGAAAGAAGCAGAAGATATCTGATCTTGCTGATAACCCACTTTGTGTTTTAGTCACAAAATGTGGTTTTATTTTTTCCGATAATATTAATCAACCAAATGAGCTAGGTTTGATCATCTAATATGTTATTATAAAATGTTATATATTTATGATTTGAGAATTCAGAGTAGGTAACTCATAAAAATCTTGTAGCTTTGTTAATTTATAAGAATGCTCTTAAAATTGAAGTGAAATTGAAATGGAAAATATTGTAAAAATGGAAAATAGACTGAAAAAAAAAAAAAAAAAATTAAAATATACATAGATAGATGTGTTTTAAGCTTTTAAAACTTTTTTTTGTTGTTGAAATTTTTTCTTTCACCTACAATATATAAAATTATCTCAAAACTTGTTTTTACTAAGTTCTTGTTTTTATTTTTGCTTGGTTGCTTAGAAACTAATTTTAAGTTTTATCTTATTTGGTTGTTTTGTAAACATTTTAAAGACAATTGAGCTAAAAGTTTAAGTTAAAAATGGAATAAACATTTTAATTTAATATTATGTTCAATCTTCATCCATCCAAAGGATATTTTCGTATTTGATATAGTCTTACAATTTTTAAACCACTCATGCATAAGGTAAATGACATTCCAGTTATCTGAGTGTCAGGCAATAAAATTTATGTTAGAAATAAATTAAAAAATAAAATAAATAAATAAAAATTTAAAATGTATATTAGAACTGTAAAGTGCATTTAAACCAATTAAACACAAGTTAAAATGAAATGGAATTAACATAAACACTGTTTAGTCATTTTTATGGCTATATCCAGTTGGATATTGCCATAAAAATTAGGTTGTTAAAACATATTTTAGGTGACAGATTTGTCAAAATATTTTATGTCCTAAATGTTTTCTATTCACATGCTTTGACAAAAGTTTTCATTATAAAAACTTCCGTTTTCATAATAAAAACAAACGTTTTCATTATGAAAACAAATGTTTTCATTATGAAAGCAATCGTTTTCATAATGAAAGCAATCGTTTTCATAATGAAAGCAATCGTTTTCATTATGAAAGCAATCGTTTTCATTATGAAAGCAATCGTTTTCATTATGAAAGCAATCGTTTTCATTATGAAAGCAATCGTTTTCATTATGAAAGCAATCGTTTTCATTATGAAAGCAATCGTTTTCATTATGAAAGCAATCGTTTTCATTATGAAAGCAATCGTTTTCATTATGAAAGCAATCGTTTTCATTATGAAAGCAATCGTTTTCATTATGAAAGCAATCGTTTTCATTATGAAACCAATTGTTTTTTATTATGAAAGTAATCGTTTTCATAATGAAAGCAATCGTTTTCATTATGAAAGCAATTGTTTTCATTATGAAAGCAATCGTTTTTTATTATGAAAGCAATCGTTTTTTATTATGAAAGCAATCGTTTTTTATTATGAAAGCAATTGTTTTTTATTATGAAAGCAATCGTTTTCATAATGAAAGCAATCGTTTTCATAATGAAAGCAATCGTTTTCATAATGAAAGCAATCGTTTTCATAATGAAAGCAATCGTTTTCATAATGAAAGCAATCGTTTTCATAATGAAAGCAATCGTTTTCATAATGAAAGCAATCGTTTTCATAATGAAAGCAATCGTTTTCATTATGAAAGCAATCGTTTTTATTATGAAAGCAATCGTTTTCATTATGAAAGCAATCGTTTTTATTATGAAAGCAATCGTTTTCATTATGAAAGCAATTGTTTTCATTATGAAATCAATCGTTTTCATAATGAAAACAATCGTTTTCATAATGAAAAAAATCGTTTTCATTATGAAAACGATTGTTTTCATTATGAAAACGATTGCTTTCATTATGAAAACAATCGTTTTCATAATGAAAGCAATCGTTTTCATAATGAAAACAAAAGTTTTCATTTTGCAGTATTTTCATCAAACTGATTTCTTTTTTTTTTTCCTCCAGTATTGAGTATTGAATTCAATGTCAAATGTCACTTGTGATTTATTGAGAGCCATTTTAAAATTAGTTATTTATGTCAAATGTGACTTGTGATTTATTGAGAGCCATTTTAAAATATTTTGATCTGATTCTGAAGATACATTAAAAACACCTTGACTATTTTATCCTCCAGTATATTCAATAAAACAACATACTTTTTCAGCTTCACTATTTTCTGAGTTTATTGGAATCATCTTTTCAAAAGTATTTGATGAGTGTGACACATTTGATTGTATGGATTTTTCTGTTGAATAAGAATTTTATTGTTCTTGTTGAGTACAAAGTTTTTGATAGATTTTGATCTACTGTGTGGTTTCTCTATAATATGTAGCTTTGATATGGTCTTGTGTGTTTAAATTGTACCTTTAATATGCTTTTGTAATGGTATGGAAATTTTTTGTCATCAAAAAAGTGGAATCACAGGGTGGTGTAATGTCATGTAAGATGTTTGAAAATATGCTACTTTTTTGTAGCATATATTCATATATTCAAAAATTATAATTACATAATTAACTTTAATGCTTTGCTCATCATCATCATCATCATCATCATCATCATCATCATCATCATCATCATCATCATCATCATCATCATCATCATCATCATCATCATCATCATCATCATCATCATCGTTATCATCATTTTCTTTTTCTTGTTGTGTGCAAAGTTTTTGATGGCACACGTGTTTTCTGGCACACGTGTGTCAGCAAGCTGCCAAGGACACATATTATCAATGTTTAAAGATGCATTTAATAACATCAGAAATGTTGCTGATGAATCCAAAAAAGGACCTATATTCAAACATCTTACATGACATTACACCCATCTGGGATTCCACTTTTTTGATGACAAAAGATTTCCATACCAATGCAAATGCATATTAAATGTTCAATTTAAGCATACCAGAGCATATCAAAGCTACATATTATAAAGAAACCACACAGTTGATCAAAATCCATCAAAAGCTTTGCACACAACAAGAAAAAGAAAATGATGATAATGATGATGATGATGATGATGATTATGATGATGATGATGATGATGATGATGATGATGATGATGATGATGATGAGCAAAGCATTAAAGTTAATTAAGTAATTATAATGCAATTGTAAATTATTTTTTTTAATAAACTAATCATAGTTATTGTTATTACAAATATATTCATTGAAATTATTTATAATTTTTTACCTCTTCATAAAATGAATTGAATAAGCTGAATATAATTTTTATAATAAATATATAAATCTTTTAAGTTCCTCAGTTCAACTCAATTTAATTTGGTGTGAAAGTTTTAAAATTCTTTTAACCATTGTCTTTTATAAAGTGTAATTAAATATTTTATTACTTAGCATAATTAAAAACGCTTATTTAATTCATTATTTGATTTATCATAATTAATTAGCATATTTAATTCATTACTTGATTACATGGCATTTTTAATTTATTACATGGCATAACTAAAAACGCTTATTTAATTCATTAATTGATTTAGCATAAATGTATTTTATACTAAAAATAATAAACATCATTTTAAATTTAAATTGCAAAATTTAAATTGTAAAAAAAATACTATTGCTTATATTCAAGTTTCAACTTTTTTCTTCATAGAATCTTTTGAGATCCAATTTTTCAAAATGGAAACTTTTGATGTTTAATTTTTAGTTGATAATTATTAAAATTTTTTTTTTTTAATTTTTATCAAAAGAATAGTTTATTCATATTAACAAAAATTCTGTTATAAAAATTAAATTTGAATTTTTATATTCTAATAAGGGAAATTGCTACTATAGGAGCCTCAATACTGTCACATGATACATCGCTGATAAGATACTGTCACATGATACATCGCTGATAAGATACTGTCACATGATACATCGCTGATAAGATAGAAAAAAGTTCTATTTGAATGTTTTAGTTTTATGGTTTAAAATAAAAGTTTTAAGAAATTATTTGCAAAAAAGCAGAAATTTGCTATTTTCATTTTATTATTCAAATTAATCTAAAATGCACTTTTCCTTTTAGTTTTTCCTTTATTATTCATCTATTTCATTTTTATTTATTCATTTTCATTTTTATTTATTTATTTCATTTAGATTTATCTATTTGATTATTAATGTTTTTTTTCTTTTATTCTTCATTTATAATTTTTTTTTTTTGTTTAATTTATATTATTTGCAGGTGTCGATCAAATTATGTTTCAAAAAGATTTATCGAAAGCTTTAAAGAATATAAATGAAGAGGTTTTATTTTAAATTCTTTTCTTTTATCTTGCAATAAGAATATTGTGGCATAATTTTATTAGTTCAATGCAGGAATGATTATTGGTTTGGCAATGGCTCTATGCAGGAATGATTTTTGGTTAGGCTATGATTAGGTTATGATTATTGGACTGATGCTGATATAGAGTAGGTATTAAGAAAAATAGAAAGTGTTAGTATATTTGTATTGTTACAATAGGAAGATTACCATCCATGGTTTAAGAGCTCTTCCTACCCTAACCCACAATTAAATGAAAGGTTTTGTATCAGATATCTTTTGCCATGTAAATTGCTTTCACTACCACTAAGAAGCCTCAATAAATAATAAATTTATTTATAATACTTGGATGCAATGTTTTAATGTATAACTATTAGTTATTATAGTTATTTCTGATGATAATAATAACAAATAAAAGCAGTATTGTAAAGATTAAATGTAAGAAATCACAAATAAGAATTTTTTATTTATTTATTTTTTAATTTAAACATGTTCTGGCTGGATTATAACTTATGCTTTTATTAAAATAAAAATGTTTGTGGTGATTTATAGTAAATTTTAAATAGTTTTATTACCACACTGTAGTCTTTGATTTTTTAAAATGTTTTCATAATGTTTGTTTAAACTAGCAAACAACTTTCATTATCAACATATTTGTACAAAGTTTCAAGAACTAATGAAAGGAAAAAGAAAGAGGTTAACTGTAAGGCTTGTAGGTCTGTATACCTGGTTAACTCGCCTTTAAATAATCCACTTATAAAACTACTAATTGCAGTATTTTTAGTATTACTTCTATCTGAAATTGTTTAGAAGTAAAAGTTTCAAACATGTTAAATCAAATTTTTCATGGTTTTCAACAAGAGAGGATGTTATATGCAAAGTAAGAGAAGTTTGTAATTTAAATACAGAAAAGTACTGCTTCCACCAAAATTTTTTAGATATTTGAAAGTTAGCAGGTTTCAATAATTATTTGATTTCTGAGAGAAGCATAGTAAAAAGAAATTTCACTTCTCAATATCTAATATATTTTGTGCAACAGTAAAAAATTTTAAATCAAAAATAAAGTTTCTGACACAAAAAAGACTTTTAAAATGTGTTAGAGTAGTCATATGACATCATATGATGTCATCATGTTGTCTGGCATAGTATGATGTCTTTATTATGTTGCAACTTGTTGTGAAAATTCTTTGCGCTGATGCATTAGTGCAAGAATTCTCACTATCATCCTCTTTTGAAAAAAAGTAAAGAAAAAAAAAAAAACGAGCTGAATCACAATCAATATCAAAGTTTGTTTTGCATAAAAAGGATATTTTAAGTTTGAAAAAAGATGCTGTTCAACTACATATCTAATTACAAAAAAGATTTTTTTGTAAATAGATATGTAGTTGAACTAGAAATTGCTTTGGAATTTTTGATTTCTACAGTGCTATTCTCAGTATTTAAAATCAAGCTTTTTTTTATTGCAAATATAGTGAACATTGTTGTAATTATATTGTAATTATTGTATCAGCACATTCATTATTTTCAAATGATATATGTGCTGACAGAGTAAATTTTTTCTTCACAAATTCTATTTTCTTTTTTGACTTTCTTCTGTTCTTCTGAAACTTCTTTTATTTTTGGTCAATACCAAATTTAAAATTTAATCCAGACTTCAGTTGTTCAAAAAATTTTAATCTAATGATCAGCAAACTGTTGATAACTGGTTATGTCAATCATATTTTATCTAAATAATATATGCAAAAATATAAGTAAAATTAGAAAAAGCTTAAAAAACTATGATGGCAAAACTAAAATGTAAGACTATTTATTTAAAAATAACATTTTTAATGAAGAAAATATTCTATTTGCAATGATAACTGACCCTCGAAAGCATGTCTGTGCTCTGAAACACTGCAGAATTATTGGTGAAGAAATGATTATTAACAAGAAGTGAAATAGGTAAATTTGTTATTTCTAAACTTAGCTTTGCTTTTTATGGTTATATCTAAGTCTTGATAACATCAATTTAATTGATTAGCAAAGTTGAACAGTACCAAAACTACCAGTAATTTCTAAAGCTGAACTTGAATATTTTATTGATGTGAAGTGAAAGTATGCCAACAAAGGAAATTTTGTCATACACAATTGAAGAATTGATCTGTAAAATTTGTTACAAAGGCATCTGCTGCTTTGGTTGGACAAATGTCAAAACGTGGCTTTATTCTTTCTATATTGAAATCATGAGAAATTATGCTTTCTTTTAATACCAAAATTTTGATTGGAGTTAAATAAGAAAAACAAATCTGAATTTGCTCGAAAATTTTAAATACAGAAGTTTAAAAATTTTTATTAACAATTTTAAAGTTTAAAATGTCGGAAAATGTTCTATTAAAGAAGTTATTCAAAATTATTTTTATTACAATTAGCTACATAGTTAAATATAATTACAAACAGTAGTTAATAAAATAGTATTTACTGTAATGTTATAGCTATACTACTGTTATATTATGCAAAATTGTTTAGTTTATTTAAATTTTTGAAAAGAGTTTCATAAAATTTGCAACAATTTAAATTTTTAAAAAACATTGAGCGGTCAAATGATTTTTTTTCATGTTTTAATCAACATCACAATTGTTTAAATATTGATACATGTTACCTTACATTTTCATTTTTATAATTTCTATATCTTACATTTTAATTTTTTTAAGTATTTATGAATATGGTAAACTTTGTAACAATTGCCAAGTTTTGAAGCATGTTGAAATATTTTTTACATCACATCGAAAATTTTGTTTTTTGTTCCTTTACTATTGTATTTAATTATTTTTGAAAAAGATCATTAATAAAATCATGCATAATAATAAAGAAATATTTGCATAATTTGCATAATTATAGTATGATTAATTATAAGTTATAAATTTATTGATCAATCTTTATTATTGTATAAAATATAAAATTTATTGCTATGTATTGATGTGTTTATTTTTATTACCTTGTGATTTTTATTAGTTAAAGTCTAATCTTATCAATGGCCTTATGGATTTGTGGAAAGACCACAAAAGGTGAAAATATATTTGTATCAAATAGTTATACCAGTTTATTTGAATTTGATAATGATGCTAGTTTATTTTTTTAGTTTATTTAAATTTTTGAAAAGAGTATTTGCAATAATTTAAATTTTAAAAAATATATTTTTAAAAAAATATTCAAATTGTTTTGCCATATTCAGAGTGACCTCTAGAGTTTTTAAAAATGGAAGCAAAAGTTATGCAGTTATTAAAAAGTTATGCAGTTATTAAAAAGTTATGCAGCTATTAAAAAGTTATGCAGTTATTAAAAAGTTATGCAGTTATTAAAAAGTTATGCTGTTATTAAAAAGTTATGCAGTTATTAAAAAGTTATGCAGTTATTAAAAAGTTATGCAGTTATTAAAAAGTTATGCAGTTATTAAAAAGTTATGCAGTTATTAAAAAGTTATGCAGTTATTAAAAAGTTATGCAGTTATTAAAAAGTACAGTAAGGCAGTTATTAAAAAGTTTAGAGTAGGGTTTGGACAATAACCAACTTTTTGAAAAACCTGTTTTTTGAGTTTCAAATTCTCAAAAAATCTAATTTTAATCAATTTTCTTAATAAGGATAATTATTTAATTTATATATTGAGAGATATCAAACCGCGATCAGAAGCACCTAAGGGTGAATGTGGAGAAACTGAGCACTAACTAGGATCACAAGCAAGACATAAGTCAAGTAGAGAAGGTAAATGATTCAGATTGTCTGAAAAGCGAATTAGAAAGTTAACAATTTGAGTTAAAGATTGAGAAAGGCAAAAGTTGTGGTTCTTAAGGCCTGCAGGGTCACGACACTAGAGCCAAGCCATTCAATGTGATGAGCATTAAAGTCACCAACAGCAACAATATTGCCTGAAGTATAAAGAGAAAGGGCTTGGTCAATTTTATCAGAAATAACATCGAAAAGAGTGCGGTTTCAGATAAAGGAGAGCGATATAGAACAAATAGAAAGACAATAGTGGTGCTAAACGAAATCACCTGAAAAAATAGTCTGTGGATTTAAACTTAGTTTGACAAACTCCCGACAAACTTAGTTTGACAACTCCTGACAAATGTGTGAATTCTTACGAATGTAAATGCCCAGGCTAAGCATGCGACTAGAGTCTTTACAAATTAAAGGAAGATAACCATCAACAGGATAAAGATCACACAGCTGAGACAGCCAAACTCAAATTAGTCCTACAAAGATCAAGTAGGTCTGGTGAACTTTTAAGAGATAAGGCTCAACAGAAGAAAAGTTACTTCAAAGACCACGAATATTAGTGAATAATAGATTTAGAGAACTTGGTGATGATGATGTTTTTTTGTGTTTCATAGTTTTTTGTACTTTAGTTACTATTAATTTGTTAAAGAATTTGACTCAAAGCACAGATAGTACTCAATACACTATTTAATACCCCAAGCAATTGCCTGATTACTATTAATAAATCCTAAGTCATAACAAAAATTTATATGATACTCCAATTAACATTCTAGTAGGTTAATACTTTCTCCTTATTTTGAAAAATTGTGTATATCTTGAAAGTTCAATTAAAATCTATTCTAATTAATCTAATCTAAACGTTGTGAAATTTTCTTAAAATTTCAGATTCTTTCCCTTTATTATGAACCTCAATCCCTAAAAAAAGTCAGGCCTAATCAGAGCATATAAGGGTGACTGGATCACCCTAATACACAGATTATATTTCGTATAAAACATAAAAATAATATAATCTCACGTATAAGTACATGTTATAAATACATATAAAAGAATATTAAATCCAAGCTAATCAAGAGGAATGTAAATAGTATTTTTTAGAAACCATTTTGGAAAAACATTCTCACTTTAACATAAAATTGTGTGTTTACAATGTAGATTTTAGACAAACAACTGTTTCTATTGGCTAATTATTGCATAACATTTTGCAAAAAAAAAATCATAGAACACCATAGTATCAAACACCAGTGAACAAAATCCTCATCTACTTCAGGGAAAGAGTTGAAGCTGTGTGTGTTGGAAAAAAAGGACACAGCTTACCTAACTGACTTAACACAATGTGTTTGTATAACAGATTAAATCAAACAATATATTATAAAATGTTTAAAAATAGAAAACTTTTCAAAAATGTAAAATTTAATTGAAAAACCAGTTTTTTAAACTGGTTTTAAAAAACTGGCAAACCCTTTTAGAGAGTATTGAGGTAAACATTTTTGAAATAAAATATAAGATATAGTAATATGAGATTGTTTGACAATACTTTTTTGCATTGATTTTTTTTTGCAATAATAAAAGAAATGGTTACCGTTAAAAAATGCAGCTGCACTAGATAAAGAAAACTGTAGAGGAATATAACAAAAGTAGAGTTAAACTTGACTTCAAAACGGAAGGAAGGAAGCTTTCATTCATTCATTTCATTTCTTTCATTCTTGTCTGAATCCAAGAGATTACATAAGAAACACAGTTTTCAGCAGAATAATTAATTAATAGATATTTAAATGTTAAAAGTTTAAAAAAAAATCTACAAAACTTTTTTTTGTTAATCTAGAAGTTTAACGTTTTAAGTTTTTTTTAGTTTAAAATATTTTAAGTATTATTAATTTAATATATTTTAAATTATAGTCAAATAACAATATAAAATTCAAAAATTACATTGATCAATCTTAAACTTGCTTTGAGCCTCTAAATATTGACATATTCAAATGAGTAAATTATTATGATTGCAAAACTAATTATTTTAGTTTATTTTTATAATTTAAAATTATTCAAAAAAAGAGCTTTTTACTGTGTTTTGTTTAGTTTAAATCTTATGATACTTTGTACTAATGATGTATATATTGTTTACTGTAAATTTTTGTTTTTAGATTTTGCTTTAGCTTGTTGCCTACAATTTCAGCAGATATATGTGTAAATAGGTAATCTTTTTAACTAGGGCTGTACCGGATTTAATTTTTCCAAATCCGGCCGGAGCCGGATTTGCCGGATTTTTACTAACAGATCCGGCCGGAATCGGAGCTGAAGCCGGATTTTGAAGCAAAACTACAGGAACCAAAATCCTGTATATCCCTACTTGGTGTTGAAAATGGTCAACAATGTTGACTATTTAGATCACCAAGTGACAGTTCCCGACGGGCATTTCTTTTTAAAAGTTATGATCTAAATGTATTTTAAATGTCTTTTAAACGTCTTTTAAACATTAATGTTTAAAAGACGTTTAAAAGACATTTAAAACACATTCAGAACGTAACTTTTAAAAACAAATGCCCGTCGGGTTGTTTTCTATTAAACATCATTTTTGTTGTTTAAAAGTTTTATAGCAATTTCTATAGAAATTAATAGACATTTTATATAAATTTTATAGATTTTCTATAGGCCATATGTTTCAAAAATTTAGAGAAATTCTACAGAACTTTTTTTCCCGGGATGTTGTCACTCCTCCACTGTAGTGAATCAGCGTGTCTATATATTTCTGATTCTTCCAGATATTGGCTTAGCTGAGTGTCAATGCCTGTTGGTAATTGTTGTTCATGTGCTGTGCCACAAGCGGGCGTAGACTGAATAATTTCATCTATATATATTGCCATTGTAATGATGATAATGTATAAGAATTATCCAGCCGGGATTGTTTTGCTGGATTTTCTTTATTTTTTTCAATCTAAAAAGGTTTCTCCTCAATGCCTTTGAAACGCTCATCTAATGAGTTGATTAGGATTGACTTCATAGTCTTTACACCTGCATTATTGCAGAATATCGTGTGTCTTCTCTTCAGAATTTTTTGTTGCGTTCTTGTTTGAAATTAGGCTTAGCTTATTAAATTGTAAAAAAATGTAAATACAGATACCAAAACAAACATGAAGTTCAAAAATTAAGTATTATGTATACATGTTATCACGGGTAAGAAAGATGTAATAAACATCCAGAAATCCGGCCAAAATTATGCCGGATTTCCTAACATTTTGCCGGAGCCGGATTTGGGCCGGATTTGTAAAAATGGCCGGATTTCAGCCGGAGCAGGAGCCAGAGCCGAAATTCGGTACAGCCCTATTTTTAACGTATAAACATATTTTATTAAAAAGTTTTTATCTTTGGTAATGACTTTCATGAAGTAATTTAAGATTGTTACAATTTGCATCATTAATTGATTACATTTTAATTTACACTATATATTATGTGTTGCATTATTTTATTTTGTATTGCTATCAACCAATTGTATCTTATAATGTGTTTTGTATCAACCTATTATATCTTGTAATGTGTTTTATGTGGATATCTTTTCATACTAGTTATTGGATTACAATAAAGTTTACTTAATAAACAATTAACTTTTTTATTTTCATATTATAAATATCAATAACATTAGTTTTATAAATGTATTTTATTGATATATGGTTATACTAATATATGTATTAATCCATGTGTTTGTTTAAATTAAATTGCCAGCAACATTCTTTCTTTCATACTGAATGTTCTAAAGTAATTTAATTGTAAATCTTCTTTTAAAAGATTACATGTTTTAAGATGACATCAATGGTGTCAGTTTCATATTCAGAATCAAAGTTGTTACTTTTTTAAGATAAAAGGTTGATTTCATCACATATATTATTATCAGCAGGCAATCTAAGACAGTACATTGTCTCAGTTTTTTTTTTTTTTTTTGTTGCAATATTCTCTGAGAGTGTGACATGACATTATCATAATTGATCTGATTTGTATATCTGATAAACATAATATTGAATCTTATAAATCATAAGAAGCTAATCCAACTACTCCTTCTTACCCACCATTCATACTGGCAACAAAAGAATCCAAGTTACTATCATTCAATTGTGTTACTATCATATCTTGGTTATCAATATTTGTTTTGAGTGCTTTTGTTTGTTTTTAATGTTTTATTTTTAGACTCTCAAGTTTCACTCTCAAGTTTGATTTTGTGTTTAACTACGCAAAAGTTTTTTTAAAATCGGCTGTTTCTGAATAACTAATAATTATGTAACAGTTTATAAAAAAAGATAAATAAATAGATATTATAAAGATTATAAAACATATAGTGGAAAGAAGTCATTAAATACCATTAAATAATATTCTCAGCCACTGCCTTGAATTGAAAAATAATTAATCCTAAAGTTTAGATAAAGAATGTGTTAAAAACATTCTTCGATTTCTATTGAATCTTGCTTTAGTTTTAAAAGCAAAATAGTTCATTGTCAAGGTAACTAAAATAGTTCATAGTCAAGGTATCAATATAGTTCATTGTCAAGATATCTAAAATGATTCATTGTCAAGATATCTCAAATAGTTCATTGTCAAGGTATTGCATTTTCATACTTTATATTGTTTTTTTTTAAAATCTAAGTATGAGTTTTTAGAAAATTGAGCAAAATGGTGTACAAAATGAGTTAAAGTTAGCCTCAGAAAAAAAAACCTGAATCATAATGAGCCTCAGAGTTCAAGATAAAAAAAAGCAGAAACAAAATATATAGGGATAAAAAGACAAAAAGGAAAGATATAGAAACAAAAATCTGTTTTTAGTGAATGTAGAGAGAGCTATTTTCAAAGCAATATAAAACAAAAATATAAAATTTTTGCATTATTTTTATATTTGTGGGACAACATAAAAATTGTTTACAATAGTGTCAAATGAATATATGCAAAAATTATTATCATAGATACCATAAGGCCCATGGCAGGGTTTTTTAGATCATTTTCATTCAACAATGATTGCATGTCACATTAAAATTAACTATAATTAGGTTGACCATTGTCCCGGTTATTAGGTAGAAAAGCACAACGCTAAACTTATTGAAATTAAAATTTTTGCAACACAAAATAAAAATTTATGATTATTTAAAAATTAAATATGATAAGTTTTAATTAACAACTAATAAGTGATAACAATAAAGTGATAAAAAGCAAATGTTTACTAAATGATTGAATAAGTTGAACGTGTGTGCTTGTGTGAAAATGTATAAAGTTAATAAAACAATGCAAAACTTTTTGCAAAAATGCAAAATTTTTTTTTTTAAATTCTTTATTTTTATAGCTCTCGTGGTAAACAACAGGAAAGCTTTGTTCGTTTACTTCTTGGAATTTCTTATTTGCAGGTATTATTTATTTGTTAGAAAAAAAACTTTTCTTGATTCTCAATATCCCATCCATATATTTACATATACATACTTTGATTTGCTCTTGATTTCCAAGAGTGGTTTTGTATATTTTTTTTCTCTAATTAAATATTACACACATTTTCATTTGGTGAGACTAAATAAACAAAGTTGTTAAAAATTTAATTTAATCTAATGAGGAGAAGTAGACTCCTGAATCCTATTTGAGAACTTGGTTTACCAAAATTTTTTTGGTAAACTTAGAGTTTAAAGCTTTTTTTTTCTAATATTGAACTTTCTAATCTTCTAATTCTTTTTTTTTTCCTAATCTTGAACTTCTATGTTTATTTCATATTTAATTCTACTATAAATGGTTCAACAATACATCTAAAAACTATTAATACGAAGTATTGTAATAGTGCAACATATATAGTTCATTGGGGAGGGAAAACATAAGTGATTTTAGGTTTACTTCCAACTTCCTTTCTCCCCATTATTTATCAAATTATTTTCTAAATTCTAACTTGATTTCACTAAGGAGGCATTTCGTTTAATTTAGCCATTATTATAACACCCCTGTGAGTATTTGCATTGTCTTGATAAATGTAAATGGGGTCTTTGAGTTTTTTTTTTATCTAATACAGGTTCAAATGGTTGCAATAATATTCATAGTTACTTTTTTAGGTTTTATATAATCATTTAACAAAATAATCACTTATAATTAACTAACTAAATTCCTTTTGCATCTTATCAAACTAGTGTCCAGTCTTTTTTGCTAATCGTTTGCCTACTTTAGTACACTGTAAACATTCTTGTTTCAGTTTAGATTTATGATGGTTTAATTTAGCTATCATCATAACATTTGTGTGATAACATTGAAGTCACAAAATTTGTTTTTGCTTTAAATGCTCCAAATAAAAAAAAAAATTTAGAAGTTTATTTTTGATTTTATTTTATTGAATTGTCAAAAAGTTGATCAAAAATTTGTGAAAGCTATAACAATATTTGTGAAAGCAATAGCAATATTTGTGAAAGCATTTGTGATTTCTATAGAATACTATTGTAATATTTGGGCTGGTTCTTCTAATGAAACTCTACCTTGTTTACATAAGGTCCAAAACTGCATTTTTTTAATGCAGTTGGAACTGCTCTAGCTGCAAAGCATCGAGTCTCTAAGTTACATCTTTTTACTGTTTCTTCATTCTCAAACAAATTTTGCTTATCTATTTTTTTCCTCAAACATCTGTGCTTTGGAATTCTATCCTCTTTTTATGTTTTTCTGATTTATATTTTACAGTTTAACAAATCTTTTGTCAACTACTTCTTGCATTTCATTTGCGACTCTCTTCTTTGTTTTTCTGTTAACTTAAATGTTTGCAGTTTTTGTTCTTAAAGAGTGGGTTGCTTGAAGTTTTGTTGGTAGTGAATATTTTATTTTTTTTGTAAATAAGTTCATAAGAATTTAATGTTACTAAGAGGTTGCAAAGATTTTATCGAGAGGTTGCTAAAATGTTGCTAAGATGTTGATAAGATTATAATAATTATTAACTTGACATTAATGTATGCTCTTTAGCATGTACTTTATTTACATTTGTTTTGCATGAAATGAAACATTTTTTTATTATTTTATATTTGAAGGTTATTTATAATTATTTTTATTTTTTAGTTTACAATGATACAATTATGTTTATTTAATATTTAATTACTAGACTCCGGTAGCAATTGCTTTACTTGAAAAAATGCCTGAGATAAGCATAGATGAGGAGCTGATAAAGACAGCTGAGGAGCTAGGTGATATTAACCTTCATCAAAGAATGGTTGACCAATTGCGTTGGTTAGATAAAATATATGATAGCAAGGTTGGGTTATTTTAAATTACTCAAACAAAAATACATTTACAAGCATACATACATATATACATAATGTATGTATGTATGTATGTATGTATGTATGTATGTATGTATGTATGTATGTATGTATGTATGTATGTATGTATGTATGTATGTATGTATGTATGTATGTATGTATGTATGTATGTATGTATGTATGTATGTATGTATGCTTTTGAGTTTTAAAAGAAGTTTTATAAAGAAAAAATTTTATCAATTGATGAAAATCTAACAAGTTTTCTAAACTTCAAATACATCATTAATAGTAAATATGTGTAGCCTCCATCATTACATATGTGTAGTCTGCATAACCTGTCATGGCTAACTAAACTTTGTTTAGAACTGCAATTTTTATCACAAATTTATCAGCACTTTATACTTCAACTAATTTTTGTAAACTGAAATTTCTATTTTTATTAGAATAAGCCCTTAAAGTGCTGATACCCAAACATCTGCATTGTTACGTCTAAATCATCTAAATTTTCCTTGATGGATTCTATCAGATATATATATATATATATATATATATATATATATATATATATATATATATATATATATATATATATATATATATATATATATATATATATATATATATATATATATATATATATATATAAATAGCTTTAAGAACTCATATAGATAATAATAGCTTTAAGAACTCATATTTAGCAGCAACATATAATATTTTTGTAAATCTTGATTATTTTTTATCATAATAATTTGCATTTTTTATGTTTTTAATATAAATTAATTTTTTATTTTCTTCGGAAAAAGGTACTTGTTGAAAAAGTCTTTGAAATAATATCAATCTCTGATGTAAATGCTCAACGTGAAATTATTTTATGTGTGCCAGATTTTATGGATGAAAGCAACCATGATGAAGTAGTTGGTAATCTTCAGTAAGTTGTTTGTAATTAAACAAAAAAAACTCCATGTTTAGCTGGTAAAACTGTTTTTGATGAATTTTTCTCTAGTTATTTTGTCTAAAACCTTTTCGTTCCTAAAACTGGTTCTTTCAAAATAACCTAGCAACACACCGAGCAAACACACCTAGCAAATAAGATTTATCTTTATTTTGTCAATATTAGTTATATTATGAAGCAATGGGTTTGTAATAAAACTATTAATTTTTTTTTTTTTTTTAATAAAAAAGTAAAGTTGATTAAACTTTTATGTCATATGGTAATGTGATACAAAAGTTTTTTGAAGACTCAAAATTTTTTTTGAAAATTCAAAATTTTGATTAAAGCATAGAAAAATTATTTGTTGATAAAAAATATATATAATAATAATTTTTTGATAAATTTAAAAACATGACCAAGTGCTTATAAACAATTAGTTTAGTTTGCAAAATATCTAATCCTATCAGTGAAAAGGCGAGTGAAATTAAAATCTGAAACAATAATTTTAAACCATAATTTTTTTCTTTAATCATAGATATAAAATCTATAAATTTTACTGCTATTAAATTTTTTTTCTTAATCTCTCTTTTTTTTTCACCTCTATAAAGTCTCTCACTTTTATAAATATAATATTTTAATTAAAAACTATATCTATATTTTATTTATGAAATAAAAAATGTATTTCATAAAGTATATTTACTTTAGACTTTATTTTACTTTATACTCTAACCTTCATTAAAATTGTTTTAAAAAATGTGCATATATTCAAGACTAAAAGTATATATGAAGACAAACAACTTGAAGAAACAACATTTTTTGTTATTATATTTTGTGCATTTTTTAAACAACTTGTGCATTTTTTAAACAATTTGTGCATTTTTTAAAGATTTTGTGCATTTTTTAAAATTATGCTTTGTTTTTAAAGGAACTTTTCTATCAACACACAGTTTCAATTAACTCTAAATAAAGCAAAGTTTCAGACAATCTGTTATTTAAAAAATTTTAAAAGTTGCATTGCTAAAATAAAATTGTGATACATGCTATCAGATCTGTATGTGTGCAAATTTGTGTCATTAGACTTGTATATGTGTCAAAACATCAGACCGAGAATGCTTTGAACTATATACTGCTGTATTTGTTTTATAAAGTGTGAACTAGGGTTATAAGTTTTTTAACAAAGATATTTTAAAAAAACGTCTTCAAAAAACTTTTTATAACAATATCTTTCTTAAGAAGGTTAAATTTCAAAAAGATTGTTATTTATAATGTTTCTATAAAATTTTACTTCCTTGAGCTTGAGGCCCAACATGATATACTTTGGAAAAAAAATATTTTTGGTAAAATATTACATCTACCATGTTGCCAGGTGTTTTGGTGCAGGAAAGTTTCTTTAGAAAACAAAATTTAGAACTAGCTCTAATAATAATTTATAAATAATCAGGTCATCATTTGTGACCACAGGAGATATTTTGCAAAAATGTTTTTAGTTATAACCCTAGTGTGCATGTATCTTAGAAATAAAGGTTTACAATTGTGTGTGTGTGTGTGTGTGTGTGTGTGTGTGTGTATGTATGTGTGTGTGTGTGTGTGTGTGTGTGTGTGTGTGTGTGTGTGTGTGTGTGTGTGTATTGCATACAATTAGTTACAATAATGAAATTTTCAGTAAAGCTGTTGCTTTATACTTCTTATTATTTATCAAAATTATGATATAAATATAAATAATAACGAAAATATAAATAATGATAAAAATATAAGTAATGATAAAAATATAAGTAATAATAAAAATATAAGTTATAATAAAAATATAAATAATAATAAAAATATCAATGATAATAAAAATATAAATAAAAATTTAAGTAAGCAGAAAATTATTAGATTCTATATAATAGTAATATACAAAATACTTTTTAAAATAAATTTGTAATTTAAATTTGAATAAGAAATGAATATAATAATATCTTGACCTTCACTTTTTCAAATTATCAACAGTGTTTGTATAAAAATAACAATAAAAATGTAAAAAAAAAAAAAATGCTTTTAATCTATTAAGCAGCTGAGTCACATTGGTGTTGGCTTCAGAGTCAAGAGATCCAAGAATTGAGGCTTTCTCTTGCCATATATACAACATTGGTAAGGATGGTGGCATGAACTTTCTGGTTAAATACCTTTTTGCTGTGTTTTGTGACAAGACCATTAAGTCTTCATAAAGTACCTTAACACAACAAAGAGAGAGAGAAAAAAAGATGGTAATGTTTAATATTATATTTATGATATTCTGATATATACTTACTTATATCTAAGATAAACATTTAAAAGATCAAATTTAATTAAAATTAAAAAACAACACAAAAAAAAATTTTTAAATAAAGTTTTATATAAAAAAGACAATTTATTATCTGAGTATTTTCTCTGAAATATTTTCAAAATTATTTTAAAAAATTAGAAATATATTTATCTTCAATTTATTAAATAGTTGTTGCAATAAATTATTTGATATATAAAATATATCATTTTATATGGATCTTAAGACAAACTTATAAACATAAAACATAAAGAAGTAAACTTTTAAAAAATACAACACACTTGTAAGTTCAGCATGCCTTAAGAATTGTTCAAGATATTACAGTCTTTCTGAGAAAAACGTAAAGATATTACAGTCTTTCTGAGAAAAACGTAAAGATATTACAGTCTTTCTGAGAAAAACGTAAAGATATTACAGTCTTTCTGAGAAAAACGTAAAGATATTACAGTCTTTCTGAGAAAAACGTAAAGATATTACAGTCTTTCTGAGAAAAGCGTAAAAATATTACAGTCTTTCTGAGAAAAATGTAAAGATATTACAGTCTTTCTGAGAAAAACGTAAAGATATTACAGTCTTTCTGAGAAAAACGTAAAATGTATTTGTTAAATCTTTCTGAGAAAATATTTTACAAAAATAATATTATAAATTCATTCAATTAAATATATAAGTAAATTATTGAGTTGTATGAATAATATAGATAAAATATTTAGAAAAAAAAAATTAGTTTGATTCTTGTAAACATCAAACTTAAAGAATTAGATTAGTTGTGATTAGTGGGAACTGTAAAATTTAACTCAAAAAATTGAATAACTTAACTTTTAAATCTTTTTTAAATTAGTCTATTAATCTATTTCAGAGTTTGGTTTGTTAGAGGTTGTCCATAAAGTGAGTATGCTTTTTTTTGTCAACCACCCCACCCTCCCTCTTTTTGCAATACACTTTTTTGAGTATCCTCCACCTCCCTAAAAATACCTAAGATAGCTCAGTTGGTTAGAGCGTCGAACAAAAAGTTTAAACCCGGACAGTTGTAAGATACGAGTTCAAATCCTGCCACTGCCAACTCAGCGCTTGAGTAGTACTTCGGTACGCAAAAATGTTGGTCAATAAAGGACACTACTTTGGATTAGTCTTAATGACTATTTGTGGCTGTTCCTATGCTATACCAACAATATCTTTGGATATAAGAACATTGTATAGAAAAATATAGCATGAAAATTCAAATAAGAAAAATTTAAAAAAAAAAAAGTTTTTTACCTAGTTATCTAATAATTTATGATATTTTTTTTAATTTAGTGTCTCCTTTCTTTTATAATTGACCCACTGCCCTTCGATCTCATATATGTCATTTGCAGACCCCCTCCATTCCTCTGAGTGTACGTACTTTATGGCTGATCCCTTATTGTCAACATTTTAGTCGCCTTGAAAAAGCCTGTACAATTTCTAAAATTATTAATAGTTAATTGTTAATGAGTAATTAATTATTTAGTATTAATTACTAAACTTGGTCTAGTTTAATGTTAATACATTAAATGAAAAAAATTAAATACATCTAAAAACAATTTTTTAGTAAACTTTTTTTACTAATTTTAATTGTCAGTCCTGTGTTCTCTTTTACGTGAAACTCATTATTTTTTACACAAAACTCTACATATATCACTCTAAATCATTGTTTTTTACACAAAGCTCTACATATATCACTCTAAATAATTGTTTTTTACACAAAGCTCTACATATATCACTCTAAATTATTGTTTTTTACACAAAGCTCTGCATATATCACTCCAAATCATTGTTTTTTTTACACAAAACTCTACATATATCACTCTACATCATTTACATAAAACTTTATATTCTTTTACTAATTTCTTATTTATTTTTTGTTGGTGTTTGAAATAAAATAAATGTAAAAATTTTTGAACTGTGTTTTGAGTTTTTAATTTTTTAACAAGTGTTGCTTTAAAAAATGCTTTAAAAAAATTAAAGTTATAATAGAAACTATATAAAAAGTCATTTAAATATAAATTGAAAACTTTTTGATGATAAGAATTTGCAAATTAATATATTTTTTCAGCAATTCAGCAAAATAGTTTTATATAATTTGTTGTTTCAAAATAAAACACACATCATTTTATAAACATCCATTTACATATTTTTAGCCAATTGCTATGCAGTAACTCTCAATTGACATCATCTCTTATGGAAGCATTTAGTTGCATTAACTTAAAGACAAATCTTCTTGAACAAGTGAGTCATTTATTTAACCGTACAGACTGTATACAGTTTTCAGCAAAAAAAAAGAATTTTAAAAACTTCTGGAAAACGATTAGTTTAATATGATCTGAGATTATTAAATTAATTTTAAGTTTAATTTTGTAAAGTTTGAATTTTATAATAACTGTTTTTAAGTTTAAGAATCCAAGACCGTTTTTGACAATGTCAATCCATATTTGGGTGCTGCCAAAATTAAAAATTGAGTAACTTTTTTTTTTTAATATATTTATGGCAAATATTGTTGTTTTTTTTTGCGTAAAAACGCCTATATTGGGTAATATTTCTACTAAATTTCTCCAGGGCAGAGGGGTACCGCTGCCCTTTTTTTTTCTTCGAGAATAGTCCCTGGTTCTATATACTCATATATTTTATATGAGTATATAGATGTTTTACTAATAGTATTAGTTTATCAGTCCAAAATGAGTAAACAATTGAATGATTGGAAAAAAGTTTTGGAAATTTTCATTTAAAATCCAATCTACTCACATTCAAAAATTTCAAAATTGTCAAAAGTCACTAAATCTTTAGCAGGAGACATATTTAGGTGATATAAGACGACTCAAGCTATTGAAAGAAAAAGAGGCAATGGAAAGATAAAAGGTTTTGTTGACTCAAATAAAATGAATTCTATCATCTGGTCAGTTACAAGAAACCCGTTCCAATCCTAAAGAGATTTCACTAAAAAGTTCGAATGCAGTTGTTCCTTGTCATAAAAGCACTCAAAAGCAAGGGTTTAAGGGCTTATGCTCCAAAGAAAAAACTTCGAAGCGGTAAACTAATGGGAAATAAAAGCAGTTTGTTGTGCAAGGAAAATAGGAAAGCTTGTCAAACTTTTTAACTTAGAATATTTGTTGATTAATGAGGGTGACAAAATGTACTGCAAAAAAGATTTCTCACAGTTGCCTAGTAATCAATATTATTATCATTCAAAATGTGTCTATGTCAGCAACAAATTTTAGTATATTTAAAAGCTTGCTCCAAAGTTTCTCCTGTGGCAAGCAATTTACTCATGTGGCCATAAGAGTGCTCCATTCATCACTCAAAAGACTTTGACTTTCGATTTGTACATCACTAAATGGATTCAAAAATGCTTTAGTTATTAACAAACCAAGACAGTTATCTCTTGGACAGATTTGGCAACGATCTCTTAGTCAAAGAAAACAATAAAGTGGTACAACCAATATGACATCAAAGTTGTTCCAAAAGATGCAAATCTTCTTAACTGTCCTGTATAGTGTGTTATCAAGTTACTGGGCAATTGTAAAAAGAATTTTGTTGAAAAGCAACAAATCAGCAAAAGATGACAAAAAATTCAAGCAAAAATGAATAGCAAAAAAGGTCACTGAAAACAAGATCCAGGCAAAGATAACATCTACTCTTAAAAAAATTTAATTGTTTTCTAAGCTTCCTCTAAAATCTGTACAAATTGATTCAAAACTTTAAATGATACAATAAATTTCATTAGGGAAGAATAGAGCACCATGAAAAATTGTAATTGTGGAGGCATCTTGTGACAACCACTTTATGTTGTCACAAGATGCCTCCAGAGTTGTGACAACCACTTTCTTATAGTGAAATAGTTTCTACTAGAGCTATGTTTTGACAAAATTATATCGATTGATATCATTAGGCCTGCAAGGGGTCAAATTTTGTGTTTTTTTTTTATGACAAGGTAATTTATTAGTTTTTAAAGTTGTTAAGTTTTAGGATATGTTATTCAATGTGTCTATGAGTAAGTAACATTATTTTGTAAACTGCAATCCATAGGCTCTTTACTTCATTAAACAAAACTATTGAAAAAAAATTGTTTTTTATTAGCAAGAATGGGGTAACTTTATACAGTATTTGTGGGGGACCCTAAAACTGTATAATAGGTTCTAAAATTGTAGAATACTCCATTGTGTCATAAACAGTTCTAAAAATCATTTCTTTGAATATTTACATTCAATTTTTAAAAAATTTGTGTAATTATAATACTTAGAAATCTGATTTTGATACAAAGCCATTGTTTATTGACGCCTTAAAATGACATTTAAAATGATATATTATCTAAATTTCTGAAATGTGATTTGGACCATAGGATGCATTATCTAGGTTATAATTATTAATTTGTTTGTCTTTCAGGTAAAAACCTTTTTTTACCTTTAATTTTGTTATTTTTTCTCTTCTTTTCTTTAAGTTTTAATTTTTTTTTACTTTTTTAATGATACTCATAGTGTGTATCAAGACTCCCTATTGGTTGGGTACTTTAATACAAATTTCTAATTTTACCATAGTCTCACAAATTTAACCTGTTATATTTTGGTAATTAATGAATTTATTTTTGTAGATATAAACTTATTCTACAAATTAAGCCAATTGCCTTTAAAAAAAAAGCATTAAAAAAGTTGTTACAAAGCAAAAACCAAAAGTGTATCATAGTACCCCACTCACCCCTATAAAAAAAGTTGGAATTCTTTAAGTATTCTTGAGTTATTGTTTAGTATAGTAAGTAAAGTAATTTCCAGCTAAAAATTACTGAGCCCAACCAATATTTTCCCCAACATTCTGCCTGGAAGTCTGACTTACAGTCAGTCTACCAAGCAGAATGTTGTCACAGGTTATAGCCTGCCATTTCTGCGGATGCTTGTTTATGTATATATATATATATATATATATATATATATATATATATATATATATATATATATATATATATATATATATATATATATATACATACACACACACACTTGGAATAAATAAATTACATTTTTTTTCAGGTTCGTGATTCAGCTATAAAAATTTTAGATTCTGCTGACATCAGCAATATTGCAGGAATTGTCAAATTTTTGCAGCAGTCTCTAAATGATAAAAGTGTTCATCAAGTAAGTAAAATTTTCACTATTAGCCAAACTGATTATTGTCTTGGTAGATAGTCAAAATGCAATTTTTTCTGCTTCTCTAATCTCTTATATAAATATCCAATAATTATCTTTTTAATTAGTTCTTGTTAATAACATGATAAAATTTCAAAAGTAATTTTTTATTTTACTCTACATACAGTTTATTCAGGATGAAATAAATGCAGTTTGGATGAGTTTGAAAATTTAATATTTATACATAACTTTTTTGAGTTTAAATTTTTATTTTTTGTATTTGTTTAAAATTTCTTTAACCACACTTAGATGATAATCAGCTTATAGTGATTAGTCCAAAATTATACAAGGGACCTTCAGCCCTTGAAATTAGGGTCAGCATTTAGTAATGCTGATCTAACTGCTGACCTAGAAGTGTTTGAGGTCTGCAAAAAATCGCAGACTTTTTATGTTTCATGGTAAAATATTGGTATCAAATTTTTTTTACCAATCTATATATATATATATATATATATATATATATATATATATATATATATAATATATATATATATATATATATATATATATATATATATATATATATATATATATATATACACATATATATATATACATATATATATATATATATATATATATATATATATATATATATACATATATATATATATATATATATATATATATATATATATATATATATATATATATATATATATATATATATACATATATATATATACATATATATATATATATATATATATATATATATATATATATATATATATATATATATATATACATATATATATATACATATATATATATATATATATATATATATATATATATATATATATATATACATATATATATATAATATATATATATATATATATATATATATATACATATATATATATATACATATATATATATATATATATATATATATATACATATATATATATATATATATATATATATACATATATATATATATACATATATATATATATATATATATATATATATATATATATATATATATATATATATATATATATATATATATATATATATATATATATATATATATATATATATATATATATATATATATATATATATATATATATATATATATATATCGGTGCTCAATGCGGCACACATGTAGACCACATAATTTGTGCTATATATCACTATGTGATATATAGCACAATTCTTGAAGACAAGATATAAGTGGAATAAAATGTGAAATTATGATTTAGTTTATGATTGATTTGTCTGATAATTAGTTTTTGCACTCACAAGAACGCATGATGTAGCTCATATAATTATGCCACTTAATGTGGTATGATCTTTAATTAAATATAAAATTCATGGTCTTGCTACATTTCAAATTTTAACCGCATTTTAAATTATAAAAATAAAAAATAGCAGAGTCTATAAAAATATGATAAAACTATAAAGGAATGCAAAATTTATAATAACTTTAAGTTTTTTAACTAATTTGTGGTTATGAAAAAAAGTAACAGTATGGTATTCAGTAAATTAAAATACTATTCCGCCTAATCATTGTTATATAGAGGGATTTATTAAAAGGTAGCGGGATGATTTATACTTTATTAAAAGGTGATGGGATGGCATCCTGCCTCACTTCAAGCACTTTATATATAAATATATATATATATATATATATATATATATATATATATATATATATATATATATATATATATATATATATATATATATATATATATATATGTATATATATATTAGGGTGTTACCGGGTCCCTAATATTATAAAAAAAGTTTTTTAAAAGTATGTCATGTTGGGTCTCAAAATTATATTAAAATTTTAAAAATAATAATCCTTTTATCAAAAAATTATTATTTTAGAGTTTGTTGCAGAAAAAAGACCTTTTATAACTAAAAATAAAAGAAGTATATTTTTTAGATAATAAATCCCTAAAAAATCTTAAATAATGTTTTTATAAAATGATCGTTATTTTGAAATAGGGACGTGTGTCTATAACACTTATAGCATTAAAACCACACTAAATTAGTTGATTAAACTCCACACTTTATTCGTACTTGTAAGTTTAATACTCTTAACTCCTATGTCATCCTATAATGGATAGTAATACATATATAGTTAATGTGTATCTGTCATATAATGTCCACATTAAAATTTCTTGTCAAGTAGTTTATTCCTTTTTTATTTAATTCTGTTTATTTTTAAAATAGGTTAAGTTTATTTCATGCAGTTATAATTTTTACAATTACATAATTATAATAAATTAATTTAATGAAACAAACTTACAAACTAATTAAAAAATTAAAAACAAACAAGTTTTTAATTTTTTTTCTCTTTTAGTTTCATTATTATTTGTCAATTTTTGCTGAATCTGTCTTTGTTTTTTATTTTTCGTATTGCATATTTTTTGCTGCGTTCTGCAGCAAAAAATATACAATACGAAAATACAAATTTGTTTTTAGAGTTTTAATGATTCAATTTTGTAATAATTTTTATTGAAAATTGAATTTATTTTATATAATGTAGATATTGCTATTAGCAATATCTACGTTATATAAAATATATATTTGACATTTAAGAGATGTTTTTAAAGAAAGAGGAGGGGGGGGGGGTGTTTATAAAAAGACAAATCAGAAAATTTATAAAAGTTTATAAAAATATTTAAAACACTCATTTTTAGATTGTTGCTAAGATACGTGAAAAAGTTGACTTTAACTCATCAAGCTTAAGATATACTCCAGCTCATAGAACAAAAGAAGAAAACAAGTAAGTTTTAAAATTGTCAAAGATAGGGAAGAGGCTACTATTTATGGTAAGGATATCAAAACAAATCATGAAGAGATCGAATTTAAGGAAATGCTTCAGTTCTAATTGCAATTTTTTATATAATAGTTATGAGTTTATAATTCAGTAATATTAAGTATTATTTTGTAAGTATATATATTGATATATATATATATATATATATTGATATATATGTATATATATATATATACTTACAAAATAATAATTGATTGATAATTGATATATATATATATTGATATATATGTATATATATATATATATATATATATATTATATATATATATATATATATATATATATATATATATATATATATAAATATATATATATATATATATATATATATATATTATATATATATATATATATATGTATACACACACTGATATATATATATATATATATATATATATATATATATATATATATATATATATATATATATATATATACATATATATATATATATATATATATACATATATACATATATACATATATACATATATATATATATATATATATATATATATATATATATATATATATATATATATATATATATTATATATAATATATATATATATATATATATATATATATATATATATATATATATATATATTATATTGATTTATACTATATATCATTTATCAAGCATATTGAAAGCTATTATTCAAAAGTACTTCAACAATACTTGAAAACCTTTTTTAATGTAAAAAATTCAAAAAAGTAACAAAAAGTGACATAAATGTAGTAAAACATAAAGTTAATAAAAATAAAATATAATTTAGTTTATGAATGTAATCCAAATTTTAAATAAGGCTGCTCATAAAACTGTGTTGAAAAGCATGTATAAATATTGACATACATAAATATATGTACACATATTCCAAGTTAGGTTGTCTAAATAGCTTATTTATTTTCATATATATAAATTACAATATCATGATTATATAAGATATATAAATACATTAAGACAAGTAATTAGAAAATGTATATATACGGCGTCAACCGTAATTGGGCGTCAAATTAGGTGCCACCCAAATTAAAGTTTGAGGACCTTTTTTTTTTTTAATGTTTTTTTAAATGTTTTTACGGCAATTATTGTTTTTTTTTTTTTTTGCGAAAAAAAACGCAGATTTTTTGCTAAAGTTCGTCAAAATGTGGGGGTATCACCATCCAAATTTTTTTCCTAGAATAGGCCCTATATATATATGTATATATATATATATATAGATATATGTATATATATATATATATATATATATATATATATATATATTATATATATATATATATATATATATATATATATATATATATATATATATATATATATATATATATATATATATATATATATATATATATATATATATATATATATATATATATATATATATATATATATATATATATATATATATATATATATATATATATATATATATATATATATATATATATATATAAGGCTGATGCAAAATTACTGTAAAAAATTTTTTTCTTCAAATGGTTGTGGTAGACCCCCTCATTTGTTATAAAAATACTCTGTGTGAAATTGTAGATTAAAATAATAATATTCAAGGAGTGTGCCAGATAATAATTGTAGAATTTCAAAAATTTGAATAAAATCATGTTTAGGTAAAAATTTGAGTAAAATCAATTTGCTGATTTTCCTTTACATCTGGGAGGTACAGCAGCGTAACTTTTTTACTTTTTTTAAGTGGAAATTCACTAGTGGGATTAAAAAAATCATTTTCCTGTTTTCTATTTACTGAAGCACAAAGTATAAAACAATGGAAATTTTCAAAAGATATAATATAATGCTTAATTAAACTTATACTTTTGGGTCTTCGTGCCAAATATAAAATACTTGTCTTAGATTCATTCTGAAGCTTCCTCCAATAATTTGATACAACTTGTAATAGATATTGCTTCTATTAGCTCATCATTGACGAATAATTTGTTGTAATCTTTAATCAACCTCACCCCTCTTTCAGCAATATCATTAACAACTTTCATATGTTTTACTACATTTCAGTTAACTCTCATCATTCTTTCTTTTTTTGCTTAAAAAAGCTGAAGACAATCCAAGTATATTAAGAAAAGAATTTGTGTTAGTTGTTACAAAATCTTCAAGCTGCTTTCAATCAATGTGTTTCAATAAAAAATCTTACAATCGAGGTCATTTACAAGTAGTTAAAAACTAATCTTAAGTAAATACCGTGAAATAGTATTAATAATACAAATAATTATTATAATTATAATGATGATAAATTAACAGTTATATGAATAATAAGAAAATTATATAATAATAAACCAATATCAATTTTAAAACAACAATTGAATATTATGCACAGACAAGTTACAAACAGTTATGTACTGACAAAATGTAAAAACCTACCATGTAACTAAAACAATTACTGCAAAAAAGTAACAATGATTTAATAAATATAATAATCTTATAACCATTAATAAAAACAATAAAAGTAATATAAACATTTCATTAAAAAATAACAATTGATAAATAAAAAATTCCAATAACACTCACAAGTAAAAATGTGTCACACTCACATACAAACATTGAGTCACGAAAAGTATTTTTATAATAAATAAAAATATTCAAATAAAAAAGGAAAGTATATCATAATACCCAGCAAACACATATCGTCCCTCAAAATTTTTATATTTTATTTAAATTCTTTTTAATTTCTTTCCATTTTCAAATGTTTTTTTCCTTTTAACTTTGGTTTTTGTCTTTCTTTTTTCTTTTCACATTTTTTTTTTTTTTTTTTTTTTTTGTTTGTTAATTTGTTTGACTTGGTTTTTATTTTTTTGTTTATGTTTTTTGGTTTTTTTATTTCATTCTTTTTCTTTTCTTCACTCTCTTTATTTTTATTTTATTTATTTTTATTTTTCTTATTTTATTTATCTTTCTTTTTTTATTTTTATAATTTTTTTTTGAGTCAATAGTTGTGATATCTATTTTTGTCTTCTTTAGAGGATCTGTTTCCGAAGGTTTTATAATAGCATCCTTCATTTTTCTTTTGGTGTCAAAGCTTACTTTATTATCAAAGAAAGCCAATGCAATCAACTCTTTAGAGAGATACCACAAATTTGTACCTCAAAAGACAAAGGTTGGTTGTCCAGTTTTTTTGTGAAAAATGAGTTATCTATGAGACCTTTTAGTTTTTTCAGTATCTACACAGAGATATAAAGTCTGTTGTCCTTTGACAATGTGAAACAAAGTTAGGTCAATATAAAAGGTTGATGCCCCCCTCACCTTGCGGGATTGTGCACCCTCTAGTTACGCCACTGATACAATATAATTAAGGTAATCCAGTTTCTCTAATCACGGACTAATAAATTAGCAAATTGATGATATGGTTATACATATGAATATGTAGAAGTTTAATAAACAATATAAAAGTTAATAAAGACTGATTATTTTACTATTTCCTCTCTCCTGAACAATTTCTAAAATGTAACAACCGACCTTTGACTTCTGAGGTACAGAAATGCTCCTTGAATTAGCCTAGTGCAACATATGCTAATTATTCATTTGTATTTTTGTAGCTGACAAGAATTTTGAGAAGACAGAGGTCCTTTTGTGGAGCCCTTACTGTGCAGGGAGCCAAGAACCAATGCTTGATATACATTGTTACAGAAAACAGACAAATTTCTTTTAGTTTTTTTTCTTCCATAGCTGTTGTTTTAAACTGACTTTTGAACATTCAGATTTTAATGGAATAAATGTCTTTCGCCATCCAACATGCTCTATGATAAGCCTCCAACTCAATTTCAAGGGTATGATGTCGACAAGGACATCATAACAAATCTTTTTCCATATCTTGTTCAAATAAGAGACAAGCTCCGTTTTTGCAACCAGTGTTTAATGAAGTTGTGTCAAAGCACATACCTTTTACATTAACTGTCAGATTCCATTAAATGATCAACTGATGTACTGCACTTGCAGCCTCCTTTCCTGTACCATGATCTAATATTGGCACCCCAAGCAACTGATCATCTCCACTGCCAGATAATAGGACTGGCAACCAATCTACAAACTCATTCCCAACAATGTCTTCAAATAGTTTGCCATCATAATGAACAAACAATGGTTTGTCAGTTTTTAAATTTTTACTTAAATTCTTCTACCAAATTTGCAAATGTTGGAATCATAATTAAAGAGACTGATTGGTCACTAATCTTACCAACATTCAATGAGGAAAGCAAGTTTTCATCCATAATCTTTATTTTTTTTTCTTAAAGTGCCTCATTTTGATTTTGATTACTGTTCAAGATATGTTTCTTCTGTAGATGCAGATGAATTACCACAGGAGATGCTACTGCTTGCAAGAATTACTGTTTCATCTAATGAATAGGATTCATGTGATCTTTTCAAATACATTTTTTGCTGTTTTTTTGCTTTTTTGATATGGCGTTTTTCTTCATTCTTATCAACTCCAATCATTTTTCCCTTTCGACCTTCCTTTTGTAACTTTATAAAATCTCTATCTTCCTTAATAGTTATTCAACTCATTTGCTTTTACATGCGCTATATCAAAGAGTGTATCCAGTTTTTCTTTCCATTTATTATTTTTTACTAAGGAGAACTTTGATTTTTTTCCTAAGCTTTTCTTCAACAGTTTCCATATATATATATATGTATATATATATATATATATATATATATATATATATATATATATATATATATATAATATATATATATATATATATATATATATATATATAAAATATATATATATATATATATATATATATATATATTATAGTGCTTCCAATACCGATACCATTTTTCAATACCGGTATTTCGGTACTGAATAATTTCAATACCGGTAATACCGGTATTATATCGGTATGAAACTTTTTTTAAATTTATCATAATATGAATAAAATCTCAAGTTAATAGTAAAAATTTCATTGATTCA